AAATACCATTGGACTAGAGATGAATCTGAATCTAAGAAGAGATAATGGGGTTCTCCTCTAGACTTTTGCTACTGGCATCTGGAAAAACTAAATTGTGAGACAGTGCTGGATGTGGTTAAGAGGGTAGGTCTGGATACAATGAGTTGGGTAATGTTGGGCAAGTTGCTTATCTGCTTTGTGCCTAAGTTTTCTCATCCATAAAATGGGGATCCAAAATGTTTTCACAACCAAAAAAATTTTCATAACCGCTAAGCAGCAAAACCTAACCCACCTGAATTCATTTGGTGACAATGACCTGACAAGAAGTTATGTATTTATTTTGTCTATCTCTTGGTTTGAATATTTACATTTTTTTCCTGCAGAAATAATAATATGTATGATTATGGAATCTAGGCTTGAGATTTTTGGAAAGGGACTGTGGACCAATAGTATCTACCTCATGTTTTTGTTTTGAGGATTAAATGAGTTAATATATGTTAAAGTGCTTGGAACAGTGCTTGGCACATGGTAAGTTCTCTCAATGATTTTTACCTTGTCTACATAGGTGTTACTTTCTTGCAAGGAATGACTCACTAAGACAGGAACCTACTAAATGATAGACGTTGTCTTAAGCCTTGGGGATCTGGTAACTTTATTACCAAGATGGGCACAATTTCCTCCCTTTATATGTATAACACTCTCCATTAATTAAACAGGAAATTAAAATAAAATAGGATGATTGCTAATAAAGGAAGAACTGGGCATTAAGATATCAAACAATAGTTCAGTGACAGGTAAAGTTTCCCTTGGAAGTGGCATTTAAAGTGAAACATAGAAGTTTATCAGATGAAGAGATAGGAGAAGACTGTTTCAGGCAGAGGAAAGAGCTTATGTGAAGGCTCAGAGGAGAGTTGAAGGATTTGGGTTCCTGTTCCCTCAGTTTGTGTTGTTCAATGTCCTCCAATTAGGGGTGGGTCTCCCAGGACCAAAGCTTGCCTTCTTGGAGAGGCTTCTTGAAAACTGAAAGCAAAGAGAAGCAAAGAGGAATGTGTATTCCCAGTAGTTTGCTCTGGACAGGAAGGAGAATGTGCCTCGTTTGCCCAGACCATGCCAGTCTCACCAATCTGGAAAATTGCTTCTTAGATAGGGGTGCCTGATGGAGTACCATGATGCCTGCAGATTTTTCCACCTCCATATTGAAGAAAACATTAGGAATGGAGCAGAAGCATTCCCCATCCCTAACTCCCTGGTTCCATTCTGAAGTTGCTGCTTTTAGTCATGTATGGGCTAGAATATGGTACTGTCATGCTATTAAAATTCCCTCTAAATTAAGAAGAAAATATATGCAGAGTAGTGGTCAAAATAATCTAAGTAATGTACCTAGCACAGTGTTTGGCATAGAGCAGGCAGATGATACATGTTAGTTGCCCTTGAAGTGTATTTAAAAAGAAATGAATGAATACTCCATGATCTCAAATCCTTTATCATTTTAAAGTTGAATAATCATTTTATAATATAATGTAAATACTGATGAACTTAAGGTAATGTTAAAATTGTCAGTATCAATAACACTTTTCAATTTCAGTTATTTTATATAACTCATATTTATCCTTGAGACTAATATATGGGTTATCTTGGCTACTTTCTTATTCTTTCCTTTCTGCATTATGACTTTTGGCCTATTATTACTTACTAATATATTGACAGAAAGTAGAAAGGAAAATTGAGAAGAAAGATGATTTAAATTTCTCATTTACAGCTAGTGTTGATTCTTATATCACATAGTCATGAGCGCACTGCTTTCTACACTAAAAAGTATAAAGAGTTAAACTAATAGCTTAAATTAAAATTGTAAAAAATAAAGGCAGGAATTAATGCCTTGATACTCACATTTCAGTATTATTGTGAAAGGTTTTAAGATATTCCTCTTTATAATGAAGCATTTGTTACCTGTAATAATGAGCCTTTCCATGAGTTTTTCACACACAACTTTATTACAGATTGCATTTTCCCTCCTCATCCTCTGCCCCTTCCCCTAGGACACACCCTGACCTACAGTAGGATTTGTATTACTGCCCCCATCACAGTGCAGGAAGCTGGAACAGGAAGGGAAGGAATGCTGCTGCTCACGCATTTCCCTGTGAGAAGCTGTAGTTCCTAGTCTTCTATAAATATCACCTTGAAAATTTTTTACTAAATTTATTTTTAAACAAATGTTTATTCTAAATTTGCCTTGATCAGAGATAACTAACATCATTTCTTTAAATATTGCTGTTTTAAAGAGAAACAAATCATTCTTTCATCTGCTTCCAATTCTTCATGTTTGTGTCTGTTGAGAGAAATGTCTTTATTTGGTCTTTATGTTTGAAAGTCTTTTTCCCTTTTCATCTTTCACTTTCATTTTTATAGGCAGTTGCCATAATTATAGCTAGATAAAAAGTGAAAAATCCACTTTGATGAATGGAGATCAGAATATTAGTATTTGATATTTTATTTTTCTTTGTTTTGTTTTGTTTTTTTACAAAAGAATTTTATTGGAAATACCTACATTGCATAAGTATCAAGTATATGTGAATTAGACAAAAGAGTTTTTTGGGGTTTACAAATTTTTTAGGACCTCTAGGATTTCAGTGGTCCAGATTAGTCATAGTCCTTATTTCACGATACTCTTTCATGATTGGTTTGTGCATGGCCTGCTTTTATTTAGTGTTATTTAGTGTTTTGAAGTTTACTATACCACCTGTGAACCCAACACCCAAATCAAAAGCTAGATTCTTGGAAATAACGTATATAACCAAATGATTCCCTTCCATCCCCCTGGCTCCCCATTTCCCCGGTAGCTATATTCTTGAACTCAGTGTTCACTCTCTTCCCTTCCCTTCCCTTCCCTCCCTTCCCCTCCCCTTCCCTCCCCTCCCCTCCCCTCCACTCCTCTTCTTTCTCTCTTGCTCTCTCTGGCTTTCTTTCTTTCATATATATATACCTTACACCATATATATATGGTATATATACCATATATATATAAAATGTTTATGTGTATTCCCCATGTGTTTTTAAAACTTAATTGTTTTTACTTCTATTACAAGGGTATCATGGCCAGGGGTGATGGCGCATACCTTTAATCCTAGCACTTTGGGCAACCTTGGTGGGCAGATCACTTGAGCTCAGAAGTTCAAGACCAACCTGGGCAATGTGGTGAAACCCTTTCTCTACAAAATTACAAAAATTAGCCGGGCATGGTGGTGTGTGCCTGTTGTCCCACCTTCTCAGGAGGCTGAGATGGGAGGATAGCTTGATCCTAAGAGGTTGAGGCTACAGTGAGCTGAGATTGTGCCCCTGAAATCCAACCTGGGTGACAGAGCAAGACCTTGCCTCAAAAAAAAGGGGGTGGTATCATGCTATATATACAGTCTCTAGTACATTTTTTTTTTTTTTTTTTTTTAGACGGAGTCTCGCTCTGTCGCCCAGGCTGGAGTGCAGTGGCCGGATCTCGGCTCACTGCAAGCTCCGCCTCCCGGGTTCTCGCCATTCTCCTGCCTCAGCCTCCCGAGTAGCTAGGACTACAGGCACCCGCCACCTCGCCTGGCTAGTTTTTTGTATTTTTTTTAGTAGAGACGGGGTTTCACCGTGTTAGCCAGGATGGTCTCGATCTCCAGACCTCGTGATCCACCCGTCTCGGCCTCCCAAAGTGCTGGGATTACAGGCTTGAGCCACCTTTTTTTTCCTCTAGTACATTTTTTACCTTACCATTTATTATGAAGATGTTCTGTCTTTTTTTTTTTATTTGATTCATTTTGACTACTGTATTAATACTGTGTAATAGTCCAGAGGTTTTTTTTATCCACTGTTCATTTATTCACTCTCTTATTGTTGAAGAGTTTGATTGTTTCTAGGTGTTTACAATTGTTAACAGCTGCTATGAACGTTCTTGTACATGCCACCTCCTATTTTTTTTTGTGAGAGATTATTTCAGAAGTAAAACTGCTGAGCCATAGGGATATTAATTTTTTTTTTTAGGAGATAATGCCAGACTGTTTTCCAATTTGTGCACCGATCTGTACTCTTTTTTTTAATGTCTAAGAGACCCGGCAGATTCCATATCCTCTCTAGCACTTGATATCTTTTTTTTTTTAATTTTTGTCAACTACGTGGATATCTTATTATAACTTTAATTTTTGTTCTTTATGTTTATTGGGCATATTTATTTCCTCTTTTCTGAAATGCCTGTTTGCAATGTTTTTTTTTTTTTTTTCTATTAAAAATTTTGGTAAACATTCTTTATATATTCCTGATACTTTTTTTTTTTTGGATATATATTATTTGAGTATATTTTTGCAGTTTGTAAGTTTGTCTTTTTTTTTCTTTAAGGTGTATTTAATGACCAGAAGTTCTTAATTTTTATATAATCAAATTTTTTTTATCTTTTATGGTCCATATCTTTTTGTGACTTAAGTAGTATTTTTCTAGCCCATGGTTCAATAAATACTCTCCTATACTTTCCACTGAGATATAGAATAGTTTATTTTTTTTTTTTTGTAAGACCTTAGCCCCTAGAGTTGATTCTTTTCAATGAGGGATTCAGCTTTTTTTTTTCTTCATCTAATCCATAAAGATTATAATTTCAAAATCTCTATCCACTGATCTTTTTTTTTGCCTCTGTCATATACTGAAGTTTCATAAATGCATGGGCCTATTTCTAGATTTTTTTTTCTATACTATTGTTCAGTGTGTGTGTGTGTGTTCCTCTTTGAATTTTATTTTTTTTTTTTTTACTTTTCATCATGGCTTACTGCATCCTTGACCACTTGAGCTCAAGCAGTCTTCCCATCTTAGCCCCCGCAGGTAGCTGGGACTGCAGATGTGGGTCATAATGCCAGACTAATTTTTAAAAAAGTTTTGTAGAGACAGGTTCTCACTATATTGCCCAGGCTGGTCTGGAACTCCTGGGCTCAAGCTACATCTTTGAATTTTAGACACAGATATACATTCCTAGATCATAAGTACTTTGGTTTTTCCACTAGGTTTTGGACATAGTGAAAACAAGCATTCGTACGGTTCTTCCACGCATCTGGAAGGTGCCTGATGTCGAAGAAGTAAATTTATATCGTTTTTTTTACCGGGTTTTTAATCGCTTACTCTGGAGTCATGGCCAAGGGCTGTGGAACTTTTTTTTTGATTCAGGGTAAGTTCTCAGTCATCTTTTATTATCATCATTTTTAATATTTTTTTTTTTAGTTATAGAGGTAGCCTAATAAAATGCTTGAATGATCTTTTAAAATATGGATTTCTTTTACTGCATGTAATGTTGTAATGTTTAGTACTCAACTATAATTTATATCTTTTTTTTTGATTTAGATAAGATGATGAATATGAACACAACACCACCTAATTAATTTGTTTTTTTTGGAGAGAAGGTAGTCCTAATTAAAGAAAATACAAAGCAATATCCTTGAAGTTCTTCTGCAGTCACCTTCTAAAATTATGGCTAGACTTCTCCTCCTCCCCAGAATCCCAGTGCTGCTAAAGCTGCTGTGACTCATTGTCATTTTAGCCTCAAGATATCTAAAACCATTTTTTTTACGTCCTTTTATTCCGAAATGGCTTCCTTTCTTGGCTTCCCTTAATCCTGTTGTTATTCTCTCAGTCATACAAGTTGGATATCACAGGGGCACCTGCATCTTCCTTTTTTTTTTTTGTCTTTATTTAATCATTTGCTAAATCCTATTGTTTTTCTGTCACATTCCCTTTTTTTTAAACTAGCTTGTTTCCATTCATTCTTTCAACAATCATCAAGTACTTACTTTTTTTTTTATATTTTTGGAGATACAGTGTTGAATCTGACACAGATAATAACTAACCATTTTTTTTTTTGTGTGAGATGCATTGTTCTAATCACTTTACATGTGTTAAGTGATTTAATCCTCGTAACATCAATTTGAGTCAGGTTTTATATTATCTCTGTTTTATAGATAAGGAATTTTTTTTACAGATAGGTGCTAAGGACCTAGTGGAACTGGAATTTGAACTCATTTAGCTTTTTTTTCAGAGTTCATGCTCTTAACCTATAAACTCTGATATCTCTAGCAGATAAAGTATGATACATACAAAGCGAATCATTTGATATTGTTTGTCTGTGTCCCCACCCAAATCTTTTTTTTTAGTGTAGTTCCCATAATCCCCACGTGTCATGGGAGGGACCTGGTGGGAGGTAATTGAATCATGGGGTGGTTACCCCCATGCTGTTGTTCTCTTGATAGTGAGTGAATTTTTTTTTTTCTGATGATTTTATAAGGGGCTTTTCCCCCTTTTACTTGGCACTTCTCCTTGTTGCCACCATGTGAAGAAGGACATGTTTGCTTCCCCTTCTGCCATGATTGTAAGTTTTTTTTTTCTTCCCCAGCCATGCTGAACTATGAGTCAATTAAACCTCTTTCCTTTGTATTTTTTTTAGTCTTGGGTATGTCTTTTTTAGCAGTGTGAGAATGGACTAAATCATCATTTTTTTTTAGATACAGATAAAGTATGACAGGATTTTAGACAAAATGAGCCTGTTTTTGGTAAGACAGCTAAGTGAAATGAATAGATTTCTAGGCATTTTTGTTTCCAGTTTTTTGTTTTTTTTTTCCATCTTACTGTCAGAATCATATCCTAAAATCTGTAGTGATTTTCCTCCTTTTTTTTTTAAGTTTAAACTTCTTATCTACAGATACAAGGCTATCTAATATGCTGTTTTCTCTTATTTCCCCAGTCTTCCTTCTCATTACTCTCCTACTTGAATTCTGCTCCGGATTTTTTTTATTCATTTTTTTCAGATTTCTTAAAAATTTGTCTTTTTCTTCCTCTGAACTTTTTTTTTCATTTAATATCTGATTGGATGGCTTTCTATAACCCCAACCTTCTGGTACCTTCTGTATTATTTGAATCGAATGTAAAGCCCCATTCTATACCTGCCTCTTCTGTAAATTTTTTTTAGACTGTTCTATTCTGAAATGATCTCAGAATATTCTCCATTTAAATATTCTTTTTTTTTGATACAGAATCTTTCATATCATTTGGAGACTCAGTCTTTCTACCATTTTTTTTTCTTAGCTGCCATTCACCAACAGGGAGAATTAATAAGGCACTCTGGGTGTGATGAAATCTGAGAATAATCCGGGCTATTATTTCTACAGAGACTTAAGTGAAACATTTGAACTCCACAGCCCCTTAGTTGATGGCTCTCTGTAAAAGTTCTCCCAATCTGAACTTAAAATTTTTTTTTTTTTTTCTGTTGGTTGATCCATTGGCTTGATGCCATGTATGAATCCCAGCTTTTTTTTACCATGGAGAGCAATGAGAAAATCTGTTAGTGAAATCAGTGCTGTGGCTCTTTTTTTTTAGATAATCTCCAACACCAGACTCTAAAGATACCCATGAAATGGTGCTTCTTTGCTTCTAGGGCTCCTCTTTCCTGAACTATTTTGCTAACATACTTTAACTTGATTCTTTTTTTTTTTCTCCTATCCTTGGCACAGTACTGCCTTCCAGTTTCTCTGGTGGTGTCTATTAGTAGTAGTAATCATAGGGATAGTAAGTAGTATTTATTGATGGCTTACTAAATGTTTTTTTTTGTTTTACATATTAAATATTTGTATAATCTCCACAAAAAGTATTTTGAGTTTTTTTTTACCGTCATTTACAGATGAGGAATTGAAGTATAAACATAGCAACTGTATGATTTTTTTTTTAAATCCAGGTAGTCTTGAGTCAAAAGCCCAAGCTCTTAACTCTATGCTTCATTGACATTCCCCAAAGCAGATTTGCCAATGGTTGCCAAGCTTGTTTTACTGCAAGTTTTTTTTATTAGCCAAATCCCTAGCCTACTATGCCTGTGCAGGTGAGGCAGGAGTAGTTTTGAGACCAATTTGACTCCACTCTCATCTACTTCTTTCAATTTAGTAGTTTAAAGATTTTTTTTTAATATCGGATTTTATTTTACATTAATGAGTTTTTTAGGCTTCCTCAATTTTTTTTTTTCACATAGTACTGTGTGTGTTTGATTCTCAGTTTGGACCCAGAGTAGTTCTTTTTTTTCCTTTGAATCATGCCTTCTCAGTGTATACTCCTTTAACCTTTGGTCTGAATTTTTTTTAGTCATGGTGAAAATCTACTCTTCTCAGTTTTTAAGGAATGATTTTAATATTTTTTTTAACTTTCTTTCACAGTTAGGTGTAAAATCTTAGAAAAATATAATCCAAGTTTTTTTTTATGTCCAAGAATCCAAGGCCTTGATTGTTGCCTTTGCCTGTCAACATCCCTTTTTTTTAAACAAAGTAAGTAAACCATCCCTGTCTACCTCCAGAAACACCAGAGTAGTTTTTTTTTTTGTGGTAGGTTTCCCTAGAGTTGGCCAAGGGGTTTTACTGATGTATCATTTTTTTTACACCCTTCTTCCTCTCTTCCTCTACCAGGCTGCTGATGCCCATGCCCAGTAACCCTTTGATCACATGCAGCCTCCTGGGAGTGTTATGATGCCCACTTTGGAATATGTTTTTTTTAGGGAAATAGCTCTTGGAATTTCCATAAATAAAATTATCTACCATGTTTTTTTTTTTTAGAGGAAGTCTGAGGTTCAATGGGACTCAAACTTAGGCCTGAGAGCTGGGGAATGGTGGCTATGGGAAGTGGCATTTCAGGTGAGAGTTACAGGAAGAGTAGGAGTCTGTAGGGGTAAAGCCAAGAGAGGAGCCAGGGTAATATGGGAGAAGGAATGCATGGTTTGTTTTTTTTCCATCTCCACTCAAAATCCTAATATGTAAACCCCAAAGAAGAGAATCTGGCTTGGATTCCCTAGCCAAAAGTATTTTCCTGTGGGGGTTTGTCATGTAAAAGCCTTTCTTTTAGAATCTTAGGGCAAGAAGAAACTTTAGGGAATATTCTAAGGCAGTAGTCTATTTTTTTTTTGGATTATGCCTACTCGAAAAGTTATGCATAGTATATAGACTACTTAAAAATTTTTTTTTCTCCCTGTTCTTATATCATGTTCAACTGGATGTGTTGTTGTTATACTTTTTTTTTTTTTAATCTTTCTGTTGGTGATTACTGTATTGGTATGTATAAACTTCAGCAGTTTTTTTTAGGAAAAGAGAGGGACAAGGGTGTTTTCTGTTTGATGCATCAGTAAAACCCCTGGGCCAATTCTAGGGACACCCACCACAACTTTTCCTTTCTCCTTTCTGCCACTTAACTTTGTGCTACTCAGTCAGGGCTTGTACCAGTGGAGAAAGGAATGAATCAGTTTCACTTTTTTTTTAACTGCTTTATGAAATGTTTTGATGAGAAAGTGGGTGAAAATTATTGGATTTTTTTTTAATGTGAGGATTTCTAAGTCTCTGGATTGCATGAATAACTTTCCTTTGTTTTTTTTTATATTCAGTATTCTATATCTTACTGTTATATTACTAAAAAAGTCATTTAATTTTTTTTCCTTTTATATTGCTGTGAGGATTAGGGAGAGCCAGAAAGAACTTTTTAATTTTTTTTTTTTTCTTTTTGAATTCACGGATTTTGATGACCCTGTTTCCTTGGAATTTAGATTCAAAAAGCAGGTAGAAGAGACCTGGGGTTCTTTGATTAAAGCACTGGTATTTTAACTATTTTTACCTCCTTTCACCTTTTTAAAAAACTGTGTTGCTAGTGTTGAAAGCTGATTTTTTTTAGTAGTATAGAGACATTTCACATCTACTCAGCTATGCCAGGTGGCAGGTAAGAATAGGGGATACAGTTCTATACTCAGGTTTCCTTTGTGTAGAGGGGGCACCACTGCTTTTTTTTCAAATGAAGCAGGTTGCTCTCATTTTCTTGAGTATTTTGGTATGCTGACACCTAAATATGGATTAATACATACAGTAGAATGTAGTCTTGGCTAGTAGTGGTAAATGTATACACTGGAAATCAATATGTATAGGACCTTGATTCATATATTTATTTTAAATATTTATTTTTTTTTGAGAGAATGAGAAGCCAAAGCTGGTCATATTATAATTTACATATTATTCAAGAAGTTAACATCAGATTAGAGTGTTACAGAAGAAGCCCTTTCAGCTTTCTTCCATTTAATTTGTTCTTTCCCTACCTCTAAAGAAAAATTACCATGAGTGACCTGATAGTTGATCTGATCAAATAGCTCCACAATATCAATAAATAAATATATCCAAGTTGAGAGTAGAGGGTGGTGATGGAGGTAGACTTTTATAGACATACCCAAAATCCCAGCAGAAAGAAAAGTGCTTTTTTTTCATTCAAAACATAGGATTTTTTTGTATGTATTCACATTTATATGAAATTTTTTTTTTTCTGCTAAATCAAAGTATACTGATTATAAACATATTCCCTAATTAATTTATTTTTTTTTCATTTTTTAATAAAATTAGGTAAGTAGATTTTATATCTCTGTCTACATATTTTTTTTTTGATAAACACATATGTGTCATATCTAGTTTTTCTTCCATCTAGCAATAATTTTTTTTTTGTTTTTACAGTTAATTTAACCATCAAATTACTATTTCTTAAATAAAAATAACTTTCATTCCTTTGCCAATTAAAAAACCCCAGTATTTTAAAAGCCTATTATATTTATTTTTTTTCATTTCAGAACACTGAAGAAAATTTGTTTCTTTCAATTAATTCATTTCAGTATTACTCCCTTTAAGAAAACCTTTCATTCATTGATGACATGCTATTTGGGGCCACATTTTTCTGAAAAAATAAACAGTAGCTTTTCTAGTAAAAAATACATTTCTGTTTCTAAGGCATTTTTTTTAAAATTCCGGATATATCAAATATCCACAGAAGGTTGAAAGTGGAGTCTTTGTGTTTCCCATTGGGAAGTTTACTTCCAGGAAAATATTGTCCTGAATACTTTTTCCTTTTTTTTAGTCTGTGCTTTTCTCTCTGAGTGTTATGTGAATTGGTTTATGTAAAATGTTTTTTTTATCATTACCAAGTCTCAAACCAAAATTTCCCCTGGAGGCTTGAAGAGTTTTTTTTTTTAAGTCTGTGGAATAAATTTCTCTCTCTCTCTCTCTCTCTCTCTCTCTCCCTTTTTTTTTCTCTCGTCTGTCTCTCTCTCCGTAGTGGTGGAGTAGTGAGGTATTTCCTTTTTTTTTCCATACCATGATGGTAAACTTCGGAATTGTTAACACACACACACACACACTTTTTTTTCCACCCCACACGAAACTGAAGTTTACCAAGAAAGTACGCACGATTACCTGTTTTTTTTTAAGCTGAGTTCAGTGAAGGAGAAGGCATGCTGCTTCTGGGATGGCAGTATTTTTTTTCTTGTTAAGATAGCATTACTTCTAGCACACAGAACCTGTGCTCTAGGAATTTTTTTTTTATAGTTATGTCTAAAAGTGTTTTGTAAGGGATGGTCACAATCAAGTATTTTTTTTTTTTCTCTTAGTGAAGAGAGGTTAACAATTGTTTTAGCAACTTTTTAATCATTTCAAGGGATCATTCTTAATGTTAAGGTAAATACAGATTCCGAGAAAGCCTAAATTCCAAGAATACTTAATTTTTGAGAAATTAGCTCAGTATTTTACAAATACCTTAATATAGAGTTTTTTTTTTTTTTAAGAGGTGTTGGAAAACTATCCTATTAGCCGTCCAGAGTTGGCAGCTTTAAAAGCTTTAAGGACAAATAGTGCTGGGCATGGTGGCACATGCCTGTAGTCCCAGCTACTTCAAGGCTAAAATGAGGAGGATCACTGGAGGCCAGGAGTTCAAGGCCGTAGTGCATCATGATTGTGCCTGTGAATAACTACTGTACTCCAGTCTGGGCAACATAGTGAGTTTTTTTTTCACACACACACCCACACGTACAAACACACATACAAATAGTATATGTATTTTTTTTTTTGTTTCTTTAATACAAAGATAAATTTCCTAATTTGTTTTTATGATATATCTTTTTTTTTTTCATAGTTACTGCAAATGTATGAGGCCATTTCTATTGCCCTTATTGGCTTTTTTTTAGGGAAGTGATATAGCTGGTTGTCATTTTTAACAGCCAACATGAGATCATGTCTATTTCCATGCCAACAGGTCCTCTTGGGAGAGTATTTTCAATAAAAGCCCAGAGGTGGTGACTCCTTTGCAGCTCCAGTGTTGCCAGCGCTTGGTGGAGCTTTGTAAACAGTGCCTGCTAGTGGTTTACAAATATGCAGCTGACAAAAGAGGATCGCTTTCAGGCATTGGTCCTGACTGGGGTAATTCCAGGTACTTGTTCACATTCTCTAACCCTTGAGAGTTTTATATTTTTTTTTGCTAAATCAGAGTTTGAAATTAACAGTGTTTTTTTCTTTATGTGACTAGAGAAAAAGCTAAAGACTGAAGTTCATACATGCTATTATCTGCAAAATATTTTTAATTATTTTTTTTTTTACCTTTAAGGGACTGAACAAGGACAGCAATCACGAACCTAAAGGTGATAAAACATACTTGGAAATGAAGTTATTTGACTTATATACCTTCACTTTCAAAAGTCCATTTTTTTTGCATCCAAAAATGTGGTAATATATTTAACTTTTGTTCTCTAATAGAGAGATTTTTTTTTTTATCCTTGAGCCTACTACAGTTGGGAAGATACCTTTGGTTTCATTTTTTTTTTTTTATTTGCCTCTGCTGTTCCCTTCATTACCAAATATGTAGCAGGTAAAGTTTTTTTTTTTTCTATTTGAAAAATGAGTTTCATAAACATTCAGTTAAAATAGTTGTCCAATTTTTTTTAAAAGCAGTATTGTTTTTAAGCTGTAAAAACACACAGAGTAAAGAAAGTACCTTTTAGCATTTCTCAAGACAACTGTAGTTCTCATTAGAAATAAAGATGAATATATATTTTTTTTTTTAGTATTTGTAAGTTGTAGTACTATGCAGGATAGAAGAAATTAAGCCATGACTTTGAAAAACTAAGTGATAGTCAAAAAGTCAGTGAATAGTTGAATAAACAATGAGGAAAATGGAACCCCTATAGCTTGGATTTTCTTTTCTTGAAAACACCTAGAAATTGATTTTTTTTTAAAATCTCAGGGAATATAATAAAAATAACTTTATTACAAATGTTTCCTGTTTTTTTTTAGTGGCTCAGAATATTTTTATAGAAAGTATTAAGAGAAATATTTTACATTTTTTTTTTTCTTGGATTCTGTCATTGTAGTGTTGCAGGACATTTAACCTCTTTTAACTCTTCTATAAATAGAAACTGGTTGATCACAATAATAGCAGTGGTAAAGGTAACCATTAATATTTAAAAAATTTAAATATCAAAGTTATATTCTACAGTTTTAATGGTTTGACTGAAGTTTTTTTTTGAAATAAAACTTGTAATACTTTCATTAATACTTTTATATGATTTAAAAGTTTTTTTTCCATTTTTTGGACATCATACCATATAAATGAAGAGCCTTCTTGTTAAGGGGTGATACTCTGGGAGCATGGTCAGGAAAATCTTAAATTTCAGTCTAAGAAGGAATTCACTGAGACTCTTTAATGTAATTCCCACAATCCTAGATTTCATAAACTAATTTCTGTTGATTTTTTTTGTAGCTTTTGTGGGTACACAAAGTAGGATGAGTCTTCTTGGTTACATTGGTTTTTTTTGGTATGCTTTACAGGTGCTTCAGACTTTTTTATTTTCTTCTCCTGCTGGTTTTTTTTTGAGATTATTTCTGACCATGGAATCTTAACTTCTGGACTTCTGATAAATGGTCAGAATGACCCACTATTGTGATTATATTCATTTTGAGATGTCAGTAAATACATTTTCATTCCTATCCAAGCTCAGAACCATATGATAGAAAAATACCAGAGTCAGACATACGGTCTTTTTTTTTTGCTTTGTTACTCTATAGCACTATTGCTAATAAAAGTTACATTAGGGCATTTTTTTTAGATGTGAGCCAAGTGAGTTTTCTAATACTGAATTTTGGAATTCAACTTATCCACCCAGTCAAAGGCAGAGCAGAATCAACACAAACCTTCCACTGTCACTAGCCCATTTTTTTTTGTTCTTTCAGCATTGTCAGGAGAGCAAGAAAAGATGCATCCTTTCTGCAGTTTTTTTTAGCCAGAAAGACAAAGAGGCTGAGCCAAGCATTCCTGTTTCCTTCTTTTATTTTTTTTAATCAGATAATTTGGTTCTGGTAAGAGACCAGGAAGTTCACAGTAGTGGATTTTTTTTTACATTGGAACACAAGGAGTGAAGAGAAGTAAACATTTCTCCCTAATGTCTTTTTTTTAAAACCGAAGTCAGTGTCACATTAATTTAACAACATGTAAAAAGTGGCCATTTTTTTTTTCCTCATAGGTAAGAAACGGACTCTTTAGCATTTTACTTAAATGTAGAATTTTTTTTATATTTATTAATAGATTGACACATTTTACTTATGAAGTATACTTGGTAATATAAACATGAATTTATGTTTATAATGTTTATAAATAAATGTAAATGTACCTAATATAATTTTTTTTTGAAGTATACCTAAATAATTTATGAGGTGATTCATCTTTGGTTAATTTATTTTTTTTTTTAAAACAGATAGGAAATAGAGCTAACAGCAGACAGGTTTAGGGACCAGGTTTATCTTTACCAAAGATCTACAGGATATTTCTTAAGAGGATTTAAAGAGTATGTGGCATCTATTACATGGAAGAGAGTGGCCTTCAACTTTACAATCTCAGAAAAAAATAATAATTTTTTTTTCAAAGGAAGAGACATTTCTGGGTTTCTACCTTTCGTGTACTGAGCTTTCATATAAGCTTATTTCACAAAGGGTTCCATAGCTAAAAAAAAATTTTTAAAAACCACCAAGTTAGCACTTCTGCTTTTGGTAATACAACATTAAATATTTGGATAAATTCTGCCTCTGATGATAACTAGAAATGCTGTACAAAATATCACATTTGCTTGAAAGTACTTGCTAACCCTTTTTTTTTTAGTGAGTATTTGTTAGTGCTGAGCAGTGCTTTTGACAGTCGTTTGGGCTTTTTTTTTAAAATAGGAGTTCAGGGCCTGCCAAAGGTGGTGGCTGTTGTCAACACTCTTTTTTTTTAGGAGTAACAATGCTTGAGAACGTTTGCAAAGCAAACGTTGACAGAAACTTTTTTTTAATAAATTTACAACCATAGAGGAAGATTTAATAATCATTTCTCAGAAAAATTTTTTTTAAAGATATAACAAAATTTTAACAATAAAATTAACAGACTTAACTGTCATATTTTTTTTTAAATGTATTAACTTCAGAATTCAGTACACCAGGCACAATGGGAAATTTTTTTTTTTTAGCCATATAGTGGAATTAAAAAAAAAAAAATTCACAGAATTTCAGATGATTTTTTTTTTACAGAGGACTTTTTCCGACCAAATGCCTTTAAGCTGGAAAACAACAGAATTTTTTTTACAGCAAATCTATGCTTTGGAAAGTCAAAAAATAT